TGATATCATTAAAATTCAAAGATTCAATAATGCTAAGTGATTTATCTGTATGACAAAGCAGAATTTTTTAAAATTCTTGAGGAAATCAAATAGACTGGAGAAACAGAAATAAAGAAAGGATTATATATTATGGATTATAATTGGCCTAAATACTAAATGGAGAATGGCGAGTAAAAATAAATCATAAATTAATTTCAAGAATTACAAAGAAGTTCAGTAAACCCACCTGAGCAAAAAGAGCTTGGTCATATGTAATAGTAATTCTGGCATTTAGAAAATTTTTATCACTATGATTTCGCTTGCACAAGATTAAAAGGCCAACTTAATTAATCTGAGCAAGTTAAGTATCTCTATAGCATCCAAATTTTGTGATGCAAGTTAGGAGGTAGAAACCAATTCCTAATATATATCTGAGATATTATTAGAGGCAGATCAGTTAGAGCAATGGAGTAGGCTACTAGACTTGAGTAACCACTATGAATTTAGAGTAAACTTTTGTTATCATAACAAAATATATTTTATACATTATTATAGTTCGAGCAATCATCGAACAGTTAGCTTAAGCTAAAATGTATGTATCTAAGTAGACATGCACCTATTATTTTATCCTTAGTACTATAAAACCATAATAACCAATAGGCTATCGTGAATATAATTTTGATTATTGAGGATTGAATACTGATAAGTTAAGCATGCATAGTAAATTTAACAATGGTAGAGCATTAAAAGAAGACATGGGTAACATAGGCTACATGAATCATTGGTGATAGTTCAACCAGTCAATATAAGGCAACTTTCATCACATGTATAAAGGTCTTCTTTTTGAAACAATAAACAATTGGGATGAAAACAATCATAGAATTTAGCCGGAAATCTAAATGAAATAAGGAGCCCTGTCAGAATATGTTGAGATATGTATGAATACTATTTAAAGAGGATGCCAAATTTTGCGGATTTGATTATAACATTACCTTCTTTTTGGAGTAGATTACAATATTGCTCAAATATTCTGGCAGAACTATTTATTTTGCTTGCAGCTTAACTTAATACTGGGCCTCTAATTAATGAGTAGCTGGATTATGCTCACTCGTTGTAATTTCAGATGGATGTAATGCTAGAAGTGCTAAAAACTCAAGCAGTTATTAAATTAAGTTGTGATAGCTAAACTCTTCTTGTTTTCTGTATTGTGAGTTATTAAATATTTATATGGATTCTCACCTGCTTAATGCATTAAATACCATTCTATTATTTAAAATCTTCTTAACTCATTTGTGGTCTATTATCAAGTAATAGTGGTCACGAATATTAATGAATAGGGAACATTACTAAAAATTCAGCTTTAATAAAATAGAAAATTTAGTTACTCAATTCTGACATTTAATTGATTCAGCTTATTTGAAGCATTAGAATTGGCAACAAACATGAGCTTCAGGTTAATGTAACTTATTTATAGTTAATTTTAACCCTTAAAAAATCCTTTTTGCTTATAGCGGTCAAAGGATTGTTAGTCTCATAGCATTATCGAAGTTTATATAAATCCTAGAAACACAACTGACAGTTGCGAATTTAATTTATAGTTTGAATTTCTATTTTGATGCATTGTCAAGAAATTGTGTACATCTAGTCTCCCGTATTAACTTAGATGTTATCGAAAAAACAGGAGAGTCTGTTGAAAATTTGGAGCTTACGAAACAACAATTTATATAGGCCCATATAGGTTTACAACATGAGTACACCACTTACTCAATTTAATGTGTATAAGGTTTACTTTTCAGAGGTTCCTCCTTACTAATAAGGTTCTTTAGATGGCTAATAAAGCTTGTAAAGATGCCAACATCAAGATTTTATAAATGGAATTATCCGCTTTTTGGGCTCCTTGTATTATTGCCATATTGCTACATACATTTGATTCTCTTGTATCCTCTTTATTTCTTTGATGCAAGCAGCTGTATTAGTTAGTGTTTAAATCATCTAGTTCTCAGATACTTCCTGCTACTTGTATTTAATGTATTCTTTACCTATCGTAATTTTGCAAAGAATGGATAAATCTTAGGTTAATACTATTTCAAAAAAATCTAAATTTAATTGAAGCATTTCTCTCATACAATTATTGTAAACAGATAACTTTTAATCCATAAATTAAGATCTTCCTCCTTAATTTGTCATTTGAGGATGCCAATATCTAATTTAACTCATTCTGCATATTTATCAATCGATACCTAATAGTTTTTGGGAATATAATACAATTTTTATAATATTAGTCTTATTTGGTAGCAAATATTTTTTGTTTACAATGTATATCTAAAGTAAGGCCTTTCTACCATTACTTGATGGAAAGACTGTTTTATTCAATTCTTCTCTTGTAAAACTCCTGCAATTTATTCAGATGCAATAATCTCTTGTTCCAACCTTTTTCCTAAAACCCACAATTATGGGGAACTTACTCTTTGAGAAAATCGTTTTTATTTCGAGAAAGACTTTGCAATACTTTTGTGAAAATATTCTAGATTTTGGATATTAATTATAATTATTGAATTTAAAGTAATATGATTTTCAACAATCGTGATGAAAGAGATTTAGCCAATTACTTATTAAAATAAGGAGGTACTAAACTAAAATAGTTAACAAAAATGAAACTAAAGAGGAGTCTGATTTTGTCACCACTTCGAACAAATCTAAGAAAAGAACTCTAGCACGACTTTGGAAGTTGAACCTTCCTTAATTAAACAGAAAGAATACATAAATTAATCTAAAGATGATCCAAAAGATAAATTGTCACCTGAGCTAAAGCCTTACTTTTAACATCAAAATGTAAGAACTAAGGCTGAAAAAATGTAAGAGAAGCATAAATATGATTCTTAATCATAGTCTAAAGCAGAAGAAATAAAAGCTAAGCAATAAAATGAAGCCGGAAATATCGAATAGGATGATGATCCTATGAATAAACAAGAGCAATTTAGAAGTAGATTAGGTGGAAGAAAAAAAAGATAACTCAGATAATACTAAATAGTAAAATGATGAAAGCAATTAATAACATGTGAATTGTAATATT